ATTTTAACGCGTCTTAGGGCCGTAGTGCGGTAGTGACACTTTTCCGGACATGGGTCCCTATACTCAAATGTTTTCTACTGTTGCACTGAATAACCCCTAGAAGTTTGATCCCATAGTTCTGAAACACCCTGTATATGTCAAGGTCATTGAAATCGGTGAGTCGTTCTTAATATACAAATTTACCAAGCTTCTTTTTTATTGCTCACACACATAAACTGTAACGTGAACCAAAGTATCTTGATTACAAAATTGTTAATCCATTAAATTTTTAAATATTTCATTATAAATTTCTTCATTATTGAAGCACTTTTACAGTCATTTTAAGCAAACGATCATACGTGGCAATTCAATTAACAAGTAATTTTGGCGTCAAGCGACGGGCAATTTAATCGAAAAACGTCTACGTCTCTCTCTCTTTTCTCTCTTTTTCTCTTCCCGCACACAGTGAAGGATCAAAAGGTGTGGCAAAGAGAAACAAGTGTGCATACGATTTTATAATAGCCTTTGTAATGTCGCATTTGTCTTGTCGCATCGATCGATAATAAAAATATTTAACTATCATCTTTTGTTACTTGAGCTAAGCAAACTTTACAAAACCGAATGGAAACATAGTTTTAACTGTCTGACGTTTTCAACTATCGACGTGATATGAACGCTAAAATGTTCTAGTAATAGTTTGATAATATGCGCTCGCGCACACCCACACACACATATTTGCAGAATATTTCAAAATCGTATACGTACTATATTGATAGAAAGTTTTATTATTTTTCTTCACTTATTGCGGATAGACATGGATTTCTCAGACTCACTCAAAAATTGTACATCAGTGTTTCTTCAATAAAAATTAGTTTTTTTTTTTAATGCTTATATCTTCGAAAGTAGGTACTAGAGATATTTCAATTTTGTTTTTTTTTTTATCAACCCAGAATTGTTCAACCTTTTGATTCAAAAACATAAAATTTAAAAAATATTGATTTTTCGCGGAGATATCTGATTTTACAGTCGCGTGGATTTCACAGACCTAGTCTGTAATCGTAGATTATTTTGAGGTTTGCGAAGGTTAACCCTTCTTTGCATGATTTTTTTTTTTTTTTTTTTTTTTTTCACATATTTAGTTTACAGTTTTTGAGTACCTTTTTTTCTTCACTAAATGTTATGATTAAAATTTCCATCATC